ATTTATCTAGATGAGCATGCGGCTGCCCAAATTTTCTTTGACGAGTTGCTAATGCGTCTTTATATAGTACCCCGCTATAGCTATACTCAGCGATTGCGGATTTTGCTTTACCCACTACGAGCGTTTTCAGATAGGTAAGTTTTTCATCGTCACTGAGTATGGCTGAATTGACCGTCGATATGAACTGCCCAAACCATTCATGCCAATTAAATGGGTTGCCATCGAACTGGGTCAGCTTCCACTCAAGGAGATGATCTTTTTGGCTGTGCATGAGTATATTAACCAATTCTCGTGTCGTAAGTGTACGCTCGACTTGTGCACCAGGTGAATTACCGGGAGTTGGCGCTGGGTAACTCGAACAGTTACAGTGACAATCAGGAACGAACGGTTGATTAGCTTGTGAAACATTTTCAGGCTGTGCAAAGACCACAATCCCTCCACTTGTATAAGGAACAAAAATATTCGGAGGAATAATCGGAGTTACTGCGGAAAAAACAGTTGTCGAAGGAACGTAGTGTTGTTGAGCTGACATTAAAGGGGCAGCAACAGCTGGTCTCCACAAATTACTATAAGGATTATAGTGGTCACTTGAAAAGTTTTAACTACTAACGGGAACACCCATAGGTTGTTGTGATGGGATTACAGGTGCTTGGTAGCCAGCTACTACTGATCCTGTAGTGTGATGACTTAAAGAAACCTGATTAATTATTGTTGATGCAGGAACGAACGGTGCTACAACAGAAAGAACGTCTGCAGATGTTGTCGGAGCAAAATAGTTTTCAGAAGTTACCGGGACTACTGACCCTGTGTTTGGATTGCCTAGCACTGGATGAGTGGACAAAAAAGTTTGCTGAGGCAAATTATTAGAAAGAGGTTGAATGACCTGCTGTAACCCTACTGGATTGTTAACGGAAATCTGCGATTGGACCAAATTCGACAAAATATGTCGTTGTCTGTGAATGTGGTTACTGAAATACAATCCCGGATCACTAGAAGCTGCCTGGCCATTGTTCACTCCTGTAAAACTTGATGAGACCATGTAATTTGTTGATGCAGGATAAGTTTCCTCAGGAGCTGTCGAACGAACGTGCTGCTCTTGATTGGGATCTACAACAGCGTCAGGCTGATTGTGGTCGACAGATTCGACCCAGTGACGCGTGCGATCTTTTTCGTCTATTGTTAGTTGGGGAGAGATTCGAATTAAACAACTTTCCTCAGCATTCTCGCTGATTTCCGACAACTCATCTTCTAACTCAAGCCCTTTCAACTCAATTTCTGCCAGTTTTTTCCTGTGTTCTTCTGCCAATTTTTCCAACTCTAAACTGCTTTGTTGTTCTAAAAAATATTGTTTCATTTTGTTTTGCTGCTCTTTCAGTCTTAACGACACCTTTGCCTGCCTCTCAAGTTCCTCTTGTTGTTTCTTTAAAATCATTAAATCCCGCTTTTTCTCAGAAAGTGTTTTCGACGGAGCGGCGGTATAACAACTAGATTTCTGGGAACCCGATTGCTGATGTCGGCTGCTTCGGTGTGACAACTTAGAGCGGGTATCTGTTTTATGCGAATGTGGTTTTTCACTTTTTTCGGAGTGATGAGAAATTTTTGAGCTGCTATCTATATTGTCCAGCTCTGTTACCGCCTCAAAACTTGTTTTATATGTGATAGCTTCCTGCAAACTTTTATCGTTGTTTTGAGTCAACTTATGAAGCCACATATCCTGTGCCGGTATCAATTCGTCGGGGTTGGTGTTTTTTTGCAGCCATATCAATCAACTCATTATTTACCTCGACCGCTTGTTCTATATAGTTCCTACATTTTTCAATATAGGTATCAATTTTTGAGCAACGACTCTGACTCTCTATGTATTCCAAAACTATTTCGTGGCATTTATAAAGTTCGTTTTCGAGATTGCTACGTTTCTCAAACAACTTCTTAATTTTCTTTTGAAACTTAACTTCCATGCTTAATAATTTCAGAAATAAACGACTCTCAGAAAATACTTTATTTTCACTCAATTAAATCCACAAAATGTTCTAATACATCAATAACTTACAAGGGGGAGTAGCTTGAAGTTCTAACGCGTTAAGTCTTTTGTGAATCACCCTCGATTTTTAGGCGACAAATGGTTCCGCTTCTTCTTAGCTTTCAGTGTACTTAGCTCAGCACTGTATCGTGTAAGTAACAACAGAGTCTTCAACTCAAGGGAAGGGGGCTGGTGCAGCTCTTTATAAATTTCGATAAGTATTTGGTCTTTGGCCTTCGTTTTGAGATAAAATCCTCAACTATGTTAAGAACGAGAACACCTGTCTTTTTCAACTCTTTTTCTATATTATCCGTACCGTTGCGGCGACAGTATACAATAGCGGTAATATTCTCCTTGTATCTCAAAAGAAGGCTCTTAAGTTGGTCAGTACTCAAACTACGGTTGTTGTTACTGCGGTGCTTACTAATGGAGTTATTTATCGCGTCGTGCCAAATAACTAGATCTTTCCGATTCGACAAAAAATGATGCAGATAGTACTGGATAGTTTTCTGCAAGTCTCTGGCGTTAAAGTTGAAGCTTAAACCGGGCTTTGTGAAACGACTCTCTTTAACGCGTTTTAGAGACGGTGCGGATAGTTTACGGAGCGCGTGATCCAAGGAACTAGCTCCTAGAATGAATACCATACACTTAAGGGACCTATGCGACGGCTACGTTACGCTTAAGTACCAATGGGGTTGGAAAATTAAGTAGGTCGGTTGAACTCCAACAACGCACACGGAGTAAACCTGAGGATGAAAGAATTCAACTTTACTCACTTAATATCACCGTACCTGACCACTTAACATTAGTTTCGCGCAACGAAGTCAATAATCGAACGGGTTGAAACGGCTTAGATTTACTTGAGGCGAACTGGCTTTCAGTTTCACCAATGGTGGGTGGGGGATCAGGCAAATTGGTTAAGTTCCAACAACACACGCGTAAAAAACCTGAGGATGAAAAAACTCAACTTAATTTGCCTAATATTTCGCTACCAGACCACTTACCATAAGGTTGGTGTCATGTTACAGCACAGTTTCGTAGAATTCTGGGGACGTTTTGAGGATTTTTTGGCATTTTTTTTACTTTTTTCCCAAAATTTTTTGGAAAATTTTGGTCAGCAGGTTCGAGTCATAAGCCAACCCAAAAACTATTCCAGTACCTTCTTGTCTATGATCCGATTTCACGGATTAATATTCCGCTCACAAATATCCAAAAAATTTTGGTATCGAGAAAAAAATGTCAATCAAATTGTCAAAGTACCGATTGTAAGATACTTCAGTTCAACGGAACTGTCCAACAATTTTAGGTATTTGTAAAAATTACCGGGGTCTAGCTTGCCGGAAAATTTTCAACATGTATGACAGCGTAAATTAATTTAAAATCACAATTTGAAAGTTGTTTTAAGAGTTTGTCGAGTATTACAGTTTTGGAGATTGGGCGGTCACCGGTTTCGAGTTATTAAACCATTGGCCAGACGCAGAGAAGTTGTTCCGTGATTGCTTCTATCACTTCCAAAAAACTTCTGTAGCTCGACTGCGCTTGACAACTCAATCGACACCTGAATTTCTCGGTAGGCCTCTCTGAATTTCCTTTGTCTGTTCTGTGGGTTGTATTGGAGCACGAAAAAGAAGTGATCGGGCAGGGGATCGAACTCTAGTGCCTCAGTAATGTCTCTGCAGTTGACCACATCGAAGAGAACAACTCACGCTCTCGGAACTCCTCCACTGAGAAGCTAAATTGGTCGCTGAGCCAACTTGAGGGAGTCGAAGAAGAGGGAGTGGAGGATGTGTGCTGTAGTTGACGATGACTGTGGTGGTGCTGAAGAGAGGCACTTTTGTTATTATTACTTCTGAGGTCACTACAGTTCACTGCAGCAGCACTTGTGGATGCACAACTGGGTACAGAAACAGACTGAGATAGATCGGGGGAGACAGAATACGAATGAGCGGAAGAGGAAGAAGGCGCATATTCTGGCTATTTATCACTATCATGCAGGTGGCTGCTCCTGTGGCTGTTGTTGCTGTTCAGGCTGTGCAGAGAGTCGTATCCCTTGTGGGGCGCCAAAATGTGCTCGCTAATCTCCGTAGGATGAATTTAACCGAAAAATCAACAAAATTCGTATTCTCGGTAATACAAAACTCAACGGCAATGTTGATAATTTCATCCCAAAATTTGCTGTGTAACGAGTTCATAAAATCACCAATAATCAGCTTCAATAACAAATTGGCGCTAGCTAGCCACAAGAACCATTCAGTAATGTCCTTGAGACAAATTGCTCTTTTTTAGCGGTCAGCCTTAATCAAGGCTGACCCAAATAGAATAAAAAAACAGAAAAAATAGGATATAATCCCCTTTTTTAGTATAATAAAACATGGGCAGGTGGGGGACTCCAACTTACGTCAACTGTCCGTACGTTAGCTTAGGCCACTCGGCCAACTGTGCTTATGGTTGTTTTATTTTGGTTCAATTTTATGCATTAAAACTCTCTCATTTATACTCTCATGCATTTATACTCTTGCTTACATTTGCGCTGCAACAGATGCTTTATCAAATTTTTCCTCTCCAAAACCCACCATCTATATTTACTGCGTTGACAAAGTAAACCAGTTCAAACATGTAACTATATATTTTGATGATATTTATCACTGTAAAATATTTAGAACTAACCAATCATGATCTATTACTAAAACTTACGATAATTTGTAATGAAAAAACTATTCAAAGTTTCATCCAGAGAAAATATAATTCAACTTAGAAATCAGCTGCTTCTTTTTGTCCTCTAGCCTCGCAACAATACCAGTATACACTAGATCTATTGAGACTAGGAGATTTAAGAGTAAGATTAAGATTGGTATTAGACTAAGAAGTTGCACGAATCTATCCGGCCGAAAATAAGATAGCGTGACGAACAGACGGTGTACCCTATCCGAAATTACTCTATGAGAAGGCCACCCCGGACCTAAGTTCAAAAGTGACCAACCGTATCTTGAGTGATGTCGGCGATCCGACTGCCCCTTCCCCTCTGTGGGGCGTTGGCATTCTCTCGTGGTTCTCCCCCTGTCGTGTGGGGTCTCACTACTGCTACGGGCGTCGTCGGAATCCACTCACTCTTTCTCTGGTCCCCCAAAATCGGTTTTTGCTGTGTCGATTTGGGTTGAGTAGGAGGAAGCTCTTTACGTTTGTTACCGCTCTCATCTGTCTTAGGGGTCGAAGCTATGATAATTTGAGCTGAGTTTGATTTTGAATAAATAAAATTGTTCGATTTTAAAAAAGAAGTTTAAAATTTTAGTTATCCCCGAGATATGAGGCCGTACTCCACAAATATTTGATTAATTGTTTTTTTTCTTGTTTTTTTTTCCAAGCAGTCAATAAGTGAAGCTAGTTTTTTTTGACGTAGACAGTTATCAAAAAATTAGTCGGTCGTTTAAATCAGACCGTTCTTTCTCACTTTAGGGAAAAACATTGATCAATTAACCAATCAATTAATGTAAATCTGTTCACATCAGGGCAAAACTCTAAAAGTAAAAGTTCTGGTTTTATTTTAACTTTTATCAGAAAAGCTTTTTTTAAAAAAAAATTTGATCTGAATTTAAAACTTTGTTACGCTTTGTAACCGTCGAAAAATTCAATAAAAGGGTTTTACACTACAAAAAAGGCTAAAAATCGACTAAAGATTCAGTTCTTTTCCGCGAAAAACAAATGAGTTAGCGCTGATCACCAGCGGACCTAGGGGAAGGGGGGGGGGGGGTGGAGGACGCCCCCTTTTCAGGGATTTGACCCCCTGTCGACCCGAAGTGTCCCCCCTTTGTACTAGTTTGAGATACCCGTTTTTGGCTGACTGGCCCTAAAGATTTTCTAAAGGTGACTAATTTTGAGGGGGGCTTGCGCGCCAAAAAAACGCAATTTTTTGATCAAAATTTCCAAAAGGTGCTTGAAAACGCCTTTTTTTGGCCTTTTTTTCAAACAGATTTGTTGATTGAGTGGCTTCAAGTTGATTTCGTATCATGAGATGCATTATTTGCGGATTGGTAAATATCGTATTAATCATGTCGAAAACAGTGTTTTTTCCTGGTTTTGCCACTGATCACTATTATCTTGGCATTCTTATCTTGGCATTTATCTTGGCTTTCAGAAATATCACATCCATTTATTCTCATTTTAAAAACCAGAGCCGCCGAAACTCAAAAATTTGCGGAGAGCCTGCACAAGTAATTTGCGGAAACATAGTTTTCCAGAAAAGTTTTTTAAGCCTCTTGGTGGCAGGTTTAGTTTTCAAACTTTTGCCTGCAGCAAAGAACATTTTAGCAAAATAGAAACTTCGCATGGTTTGGAAGAGCTCTGAAAACCAATTTGGTTCGCCTAAAAAGTAATGACAAAACGTCCGACACTTTTTAAAAATCCACACCAATCGAAAAAGTTCTAGATCTTCGAAAAACTTGGTTTGCCTTTTAAATTTAAATGTTATTACGTATATCATGATTTTTTTTGTGTCCTCCAATAGTCTTTGGATGACACAAAAAAGTCCTCTATTTCGCAATAGTCTTCCAGATTTCATTGATAAAAGTAGGCCCCAAAATGAAAAAAATAATATCCTGAATAAGCGAAGCGCTCTTTTTTCTACATTTTCTTTCTGACTAGTTTTTGGCTACCCCGGTCCAAATCTTACTGTTTATCACTACTAATCTTTTATTATCCCAGTGAAAATTTTTTTCATTGCTGGTTCATAAAAAAAATAGAAATTTGATAAAATGTTTTCCCAGTAATTATTCAACATGTTTTCCCTGAAATATCTTAAGGTTTTCCCAGTAATTATTCAACTAAAATACCGTCCGAGGAGTTTTGAAATTCTTACGGAATTTTTCAATATAGCGTAATTCTTGCTACTCGAGCTCAAGAGATAGTAAGAGTTTATAAACATTGAGTGCTAGCGGCTTTAGAGATGCAGAGAATACAAAGGGCCTACCCTGTAGATAGATTCGAGTCCGGGTAGGGAACCGTTTTTCCATTTTATTGAATTCTCAAAGTTCAGTAACTTTTTATTGTTAAGTTATCCTCTGAAAAAACGCTTCTTCTTTTCAGGGCTTTTTGTTACGACTTTCAAAGAAAACGGAATATTTATGCTCAGTATGGTTTTTTTTTATTCAGTCAATTTTTGCCGATCGGGATGTTAAAAAAACAATGTTTTTTAGCATCCCATTGAACGTACCGACTTTTGGATTTCAAAATTTAAAAGATATTTTTACCTCCCAAATTTTCCATGTTCTGGACTAAATTCTGCACAATTTGAAGAGTTTTTTTATGATGCTGAAAGCGTAACGCAAATTTTTAATACGTGGCAAGTTATCCCGCGCAACAAAAATGTTCCAAATTGAATTGATGCTACTTAATCGGATGGGTCGTATCAATTTTGTACGAATCAAATTTCACTTTTTGATATTGTCCAAAATATATAGGTTTTTTTTCTTTTTTTTTCCCAAAAACTATTCGATATGAACACTCAGAACATTCAGGGTTTTGCCCTGATATACGAGCAGTCTTGTTAATTGCTACTTTAGACCATAAAAAGACGAGTATAAGTTTTGTTCAAAATCTCTTAAAAATCCAAACAAAAGTGTTGGCATTTTTTTAGTTCGCCTGCAGCGCAGACTTTTTTAACCAAAATTTCGTCTCGACGTTTCAGAAGCGCTCAGAAAACTGGTCCAGTTTACCTAAAAAGTTGACCAGTTTTCGAAAAACTATACTGTGGAAAATTGTTCAAATAGGCCCTGACAAGCAATCTATTTCAATTTCGGAGTAAATTACAGAAGAATTCGTAAATTTTTTTTTCATTTTTGAGAGGAAAAAAAATCAAATTTTAGTTTTTTTGAGTTTTGATTCGATTTTCGAAAAAAAATTATCACTTTATATTTGAATTTCTCGTAGGGATTTCGGTTAAATTTTATTGGTTTTTAGTGCCTAAAAATACGACTGATACTTCAAAGGGCAGTCAGAACATTAAGTGGTTTAACCTGAAACGAGTAGTTTTGTTTTGATTACTGATTGAATGGTTGAAAATTTAAGGTATTTTTTGATTCTTGATTAATGATTTTTAAAAAGTGACTTTTGTCTTGTCAATGAATGCGAGCTTCTTGGACCATTTTACAGCTCCCAACGAAAAAATGAACTAAGGAAAAGCTTTTTCAATAAAAATACTAGATTTTTTGTCAAAATAAAGACAAGATTTTTTGTCAAAACTGGAAAATTTTTCCTAATTTTAGTAATGATCTTTATTTTTTACTTGGCTTAAACATTATACCTGTCGGGCGATTATGCTTGTCACTTTCAGCTTTCGCAGTTTTGTTCTTCTGTCTCATCTGTCCGAATGCACCTGAAGCCACTGCATTGGCGACTGCCGGCTCCATTAGGCCCAGTGCAATGTCTATATCCTCCCCTGTCGCTCTAACGCCCACTCCCCCGACCTCACTCGTCTCTGCAGGTTAGGTAGCAAAAAAAGAAACATTCCATAACTTGGCTTTATCGATTTGATTCTACCCGGATCAAATCTAGGTTCCCAATTTTACAATTTTTTGGTAAATTTTTTTGGCAATTTAATTGGTTATTTTTTGGAAGTTGTATATATGCAACCCTGTACAGGGGCGGATCTAGGATTTTCAAAAAAATTTTGTCGACCTTTTTTTTAGGTCGACTAAATTGATTTTCCCAGCTCTGCCTAAGTATCAAAAAGACCGTGCCGTGTTTTGTCCAAATTTTCTGCGCCGCAACGCAAGCAAACTTTTAAAAAAACAGGCCAAAAAGGCGCTCTTAGGCTTTTTTGAAAAATTTATCGCATTTTTTGACCCCCCCCCCCCCTCATAATTAGTATATATTGGCGCGCAAGGCGCCTTAAGAAAATTGTTAGGGTAGGTCACCAAAAACGGATATCTCAAAATAGTTCAAACGGGGGGACCCTTTAGGTCGGAAGGGAGGGGGATCGAATCCCTGAGGGGGTCTGGAAGGGGCTGTCCGTCCCTCCCCCCCCCCCCCTCCTAAATCCGTCACTGACCCTGTACATATCTGATTTTTAAATTGTTTAGCCTGATCGAGAATCAAGAGTTCTTTTAGATTGTTTCATTGAATTTTTGCCATGACTTTTAGAGCTTCGTCTTTTTTGGATTTTGTTGATATCCCGGGTCGAGGAGTTTGCTTAGAATATTTCCCGGGTCGAGGTAGTCGCTTTATGTATTGACGGTCTGGCGAAATGTGTTCGGCCCCCGCTAAATACGTTTCGATCGACTCGATTGAACTTGGTATGTTTGGACTATCAAAAAATTGCTCGACTTCGCTCCGTCCAAGTGAGATATTTTTCGACCGTCTCGAACAAAAAAAAGATTTGTTTGATTTTGCACGACCCTGGCGAGATATGGTTTGACCGCCTCGACCAAATTCGGGTGTTTTTCGAAAATTATATTCGATGTTGCTTGACCTAGGCGAGACAAACTTCGGCCATCTTGAACGAGTTTGACTATGATTCGATTTTCATTCGACATGATTTACTCGAAAGTAAACGTTATAATTTCCCGAGCCGAGGTGCTTACGTTATGTTTCGACCGTCTCGACAAAAAATAGGCATGTTTCGATCGTCTGTCCCAAATTTGGCTCTTTTTCCTTTTCCCCCCACCTCACTCAAACATGAACTTTAGGGTCTAACGAATGGTTTTACAAGGTTAATTATGAAGACCAAATATGTTTGTCATGCCCTGTCAGTCTGCATGTCAATTTTCATGACAATCGTTCAAAGTGAACAGTTACTTCATATATAAAAATTTGCAGGTGGGGGGCGGGGGTAAGGAAAAAGAGCCCCAAATTTTTGTAGTTTTCGTTCGTCTCGACCAATGTATTTCGGCTTTTTCGACCTGAAAATATGAGCTCGACCATGCTCGATCTAAGCGAGATTTGTTTCGAACGGTTCGACCGAAAAAAAGATGTGTTCGACATTGCACGACGCAAGCTAGATAATTTTTGAACGTCTCGACCAAATAGGGATAGATGTCGACTTTCAATTAAGATGGGTTATCCAAATTTAACGTTAAAATTTTTTTTTTCGGATATCAGCTTAGGATGTTTTCTTATCAGAATGAAATTATTGAACTCATTGGAAATTTAATTGTTCTGTGTTGGGATAAATTTTTTTTGAGATAATTTGTTTTCTTTTAATGAATAATCTGGTTTTCTTTTTGAGCCAAAAACATCAAAAACAAATTTTGATATTTAACTTAAAAATTTTTTTTGGTATCAACTCCGCAAGAACGATCAGTATGTTTCAATATTCTCGAGTGAAAAATCATAGAAAAATGTATGCTTACAGTGGAAATTGTTAAACTCACCTATTCTACTCATCTTCGATTTTTTCAAAACTCTCTGAATTTATCCAAACTCTGGTCGGAGACCAGGCAAATTAAAAACGAGTGGTAAAACAATATTGTTGAAAAACCAATACATTAAATACATTATACATTTTTAGATGGCTTGAACCACGAGTCAATAAGCAGTCTCAATTTGTCATTGTCTGTTAAAGTTAGTCACATTTTGAAGCACAATCGAAGTAGAAATTAACTGCACCAAGTCTTTAAAATCATTTGTAATCAAACTGAGCACATTGTTCATACATTTATTTGATTTGACTAACAAAATGAACTGGAGAACAGAACTATTATTTTTCAATTTGCGAGTGAGCAAAAACGCACAAATTTTTTTATCTTGAGGCGTTAAAAATAATGCATAACACAATACATAATTGAGCTTTTCGGACTAGGAGAGGAAATTTTCATTGAGTTATTTCCGTCACAGTATGCCGTAAGGGTGATTTTTTAAAAAACTATAAGCTCGTCTCTCTCATTCAAATTTGTTTAACAATTTTATTACAACAAAGAAAAAACCCGTTGGACATCAATTTGAAAAAAATCTGACCGGCGTTTATCAAAAAAGGAAACATAGTGTTTTCAAACAATAAAAAAGCACAATTAGGGTAAAGAAAAATGACTTTAGGCATAATTTTTTTTCTTTTGAAAAAAGAATGGCAGGCTTTATTCTATTTGTGGCGCCTAAGATTAGGCGCTACAAATGGATCCACAAAGCATAAAAATAGATATAAAGTAGCATTGGGCTCAGCAGTATGTTTCGTGGGGGTCATAACGTTTACTTTTTTTGCAAAACACACAACATACTCTAGAGTGGAAGATATTGAGATGGATATGTTTCCTTCTTCAGCTGTTCTGAGTTTCCAGACAAAAAAATGTTCCATCGCTATTTCATTCTTCAGCAGAAAAAGTTTGTCGATAGCAAAGCGGATTCCGAAGCAAAATTACGATTTCTGCGAAAGAGACCCGGGTTGACCAAAAATGCGAATCATACAACTTTCATATATAAAAAAATACGTCATTTACTTTTCATGCAATTCCATATGTACAGACAAGACTGCTCGTATCAGGGCGAAGCCCTGAATGTTCCGACTGCCTTTTAAGGTTTATCAAGCAGTAATAATCTATAAAAAAATTAAATGTAATTAAAATGAATGAAATTTTTTTTTCTAAAATTTGAAATTTTTTATGAAAATCATCCCCCCACACGCCATATAAAGTGTAAAAGGATAAATTTCGCTTCTTGTAACAAATCATTTATGGCAAATAAGCTTCTTTCAACCAATTTGGAACGATTTCTAAGACGGATTAAATCTTCACTTACGCGTTATTAGCGCGAAATAGATCGCGCGTTAATTGTCCCAAATTGGCCAAAATGGCAATCTTCAAACCCCCATAACTTTACGAAAAATGATCACAGGTGAAATATCTTTTCAAATTTAAGCTCAGGATAACAATAGCTTTCGAATGATATAAAAAAAATTCCGTCAAAAATGGCTAGTTAAAAAGTCGAAATTTGTCTGAAGAAAAAAAACCCACCCCGAGCACAAATATTCCGTTACTTTCGTATCGAAAGTCGAAACAAAAATTACATGAAAAATCTAAGATTAGTGATTTTTCATATATGGAGATTGGACTAGCATTTTCCCATAACCTAAAAAATTGGTTTTTTAAAAAAAAAATTAATTCTCAAAATTTTTGAGATGTGTTCGTGACCGAAGACAAGTGACAAAAACCATGGTTTACTCAAATTTAGAGCCACCGAAAGTTTGATTGTCTCGCATTTACAATGCATTGGAAACGACCTGAATTGTATAAGAGTTTTCTTATTCAAATCATATACTGAAAGCATCAAACTTTCGAATTTTGGCAAAAGTTTAAAAAATGATTAATTTCAAAATTTGAGTTTTTATCAGACATTGATCAATGCAAACATAAACATGCCATACAAAAGAAATATGAGTATTCAGCGTTTTTTGAAAAAAAAAGAAACCAGAAAAACGGAAAAAATTTTTAATTATCCAGAAGCACAAAAAAAATTGACTAGAAATTTATTGCTTGTTTGATTACAAAATTCGATTTGCGGTTGAAAAAAGAACCAAAAAAATGTTTGGGGCAATTTTAAAATTATATGTTTTTCTTTTCGACACAGAATAATTTTATTTAAATAAGCACTTTCAGGGAGTTTTTTTTGTGTTTTTTTTTAGTTATTAAGCTGCCCAGCAGCTTATAGCCTAAGCAAGGTTCTTTTGTCCGAGACATAATGTTTGTAACTGATCTCAAAACATTAGGAATAAGTCCAAAGCCAAATCTTCAGTAAACCATATATCATTTCCTACTAAAACATTTTCAAGCGTTTTTTTTATTCCTACTTTCTGAGTCAGAAAAATATTCGTCCACTATCAAACATCCAGCGTGTTTTTGTCCTGCGTTTTTGTCTGGCGGGCTTGAGCAGACTTTGATAGCAACTTAAATTAAATCTCAAAGTAAAGAACTAGAATTTTTCATGCCGTGGTTCTCTCAAAAAACAGGATGAAATTGGTCATGGTTCACTGAAAAAAGAATAGTTCAAAAGCATTTGAGCAAAAATTATTCATGATCTCATATCAGCCTGCTTTTTCTTTTTTGAATCTTTTCTCTCATTTTCAATTTTAGTCTTGTGTAATTTAAGAGTCAAATATGATTTTTTTGATTTTCAGCTTAATTTTGAGAAAAACGATTGAAACTCCTGTTGCCCATTCAATCTAATAATTGAGGAGTTTTAGAGAAGAATGGTCCGATTCAAAGAATAAATTCATTTTCGAGATCAGTCAAAATTGGAGCATGTTTCTCATTAGGGTTATCAGCTGCTGATTTTGACCTCAAGGCTAGCTTTAATAAAAGTCAATAATCACTTTCGCATCATTACTAAGAGAGACATCTGGTGACTTGTAAAGTTTTACTTTCAATGATGCAACTACTTGGGCCCCATCAAAAGGAGAGTTTTTAGATAATTCAATGACATTAGTGATCAAACCCAACATCTATTTGATTTTAAAAAAGCTGTTTGCCAAAAAAGCTTTTGGATAAAAGTACTTTATAGAGGATAAAATCTTGAGAGGACAGATTGTGGCCTCGTAGATTTCAAACAACTGTTTGAGATACCAACGATACGCAAAAAACTGAGGCGAGAATACGTCCAAGTTACACAAGTCAAAATATTTTCAGTATAAGACGACATAATTTCAATTTCATTTAACAAACAATGAAGAAATTATCGCAAAAAATCCAAACTGCCTTTCAATTTAAAAAATGACATTCAAAAAAACTTCGTTTAATCAAACTCGTAATCAACACATATAATATACCGTTGCTGGCACATTATTTTTTAGTTGATATTCTCTTTCAGATAGATTATAATCTATTAAATTGCTTGAGCGGCGTGGGCAATATCTTCAACAGAGGGATGCTTGAGTTAGATGCACAACCTTCTCCTACAGCTGATCTCTTCAAAAAAATGTTAGTGTCAATTTTTATTTCTGAGCTGACTACTTAACTTTACAATTCGGTTCTTCAAGTGAGCTAGCTCTGGTTTACACTATGTAAATATATAAAAAGATAAGATTAGTTTTAACATAGTTATAGAATGCATGTCATCTAACTTTATGAATTATAGTAACTAATTTATTGACGTCTTATTCAAGGACGTCACACAAGCTCTCTTGATTGTTCTGCCCTGTCGACTTTAAAATTTTTTAAGGTACTGAAATAAAAATTTTACAAATTTTTACAATTTCAATTTAATTACTCAGTTTGAACACTTAATTTTATTAATCAATTTATATAATCCAATACTTTAATTTAGGAACTCAGATATACGCAAATGAATGTCCTATTATTATTACGAAGTTAGGGGATAATTATACGGCGCAAATTTAAGCGGTTTCACATATTTTAACATAATTTAAAGCAACTAAGTACTGCTAAATTTAAATAGAGCGTTTACAACGAAAGGGGTGAATGTTTGACTTCAATAGTCAGACAAAATAAATATATTCAGTTAATGATTCTTTTTGTTAAGCCACTTTTTCAGTCATAAAAATTAAACATTTGGTGATAACATTTTTGGTAAATGATAGGCAGTTTAAACTGATTTAGACGGTTCTCGCATGATTCTTTTTCCGTTTCAAGCCCAATTCTCCTGTTCCTTTTCAGCTTCAGTGCATTTGCTAATTGAACAGAGAAACAGTATGATGTTCGTCTCGATTGCAAGCTAGGTGTTTTGTTTTACACGCGTCCATCTCATCATGTGTCACCACCGTATACTTTTTCCTTATCTTCGATCCCTGTTGTTGAAAATCTTGTTGGTCTGAAGCTGCCACAGATAGAACAGGTTTTAATATTATTCGTCCATCCGATGATTTAAGGAACTTCGGGGTCAATCTTCTGAATATTGCGAAGCGGTGGTATAAATACATAGCTAGCGCATGCAAAAGAAGGTTTCAAAAAACACTATCATTGTAAGCATTAGAGACAGCCTCTATGGGACGTACTGTTCCATTTTATCCACAAGAGTTGGTTTGAATAACTTCATGTTGTGTGCAATTGGTCTTGCTATGTCATCAAGTTGATCCATTTTCGTCAGTTGTGGACTATCGATCAGCTTTGCTCTGACATCGCGGAGCAGTTTCACTCCTGCGTCCGTCTTCGACTCGAAGTATGGTAGTTCCCATAATTCTGGTAGCTCAGATAGGAGATGTGATAAATTATCCGGCAAGTTTACGGCAATACGCTTTGCAGGTATTTTATAGCAGCTATCAAGGTCTGGTCTTATCTTTTTATATTTGCTTATTAACTGCGTTACACAGTCTAGAGTTTTCAAGCAATTGTTGCAGCCTGCATGTTCTTCTCTTCTGCGGGCGTTGACTTCGTCTAAGCTGTACTCACTTAGTGACAATGCAGCGCTAGCTGAGGTTATGAGCCGGATTCCATAACCTAATTTCGTGGCCTTTTCTGGTATATTCAGTTCCATGTTTTTGGTCCTGGTCGATTCTAGTGATGTAGTGACCTCTTAGTAAGCAGACATCGTACACAAGGCCGATGGGTGCTATGAAGGTGATCCGTGTTGAAATTTTTGGATTCTGAATCTTTTTGCACTTGGGGGTCCCAAAAGTGTTTTATCCCTAATCTTAATACATGGGAATTTGGTGCA